GGATCACTGATGATAAGCAACCCTGCAGAGTCCTGCTTCTGTGATTTTGGACTGCACACCCCAGAGACCTCAAGGGCAGCAGGAAGAGGAAGCAAACACACATCCCATGCTGGCTACATGCCGGAGAGCAGTGCTCTAGCGCCATCCAGCTTCTGGCCTAAGCGGGCATGTGGATGCATTTTCTGAATCAAAGGTAAAGTCTGTTCACTTCTGTTTTAATTTAATCTGTGCAGTTTAGACTAACCGGCAAAGACAGAATCAATTCAGCCTTGGGCTTTTTGACTGTCTGTATTTAGCCTTAGAGAAGAGTTCTCCAATAACTTTTGTAGTCTTCTGCTACAGAATCCCACACCCCTTATGCATATTCTAAGAAAATGCTTTGAGGATACCTTCTTGATATCCTGCAAATTCTGAACAGGAATGTATAAAATGGTCTTAGGAAAGCTCATGTCTAAGAAAGAAACCATTAACAAAATCTAAAATGAATTAACAAAAATAGGTGCCAGATAGGGATGCTTGAATTTAATGAAAGAAACTAAGGAAGGATCTGCACAGTACACTGGGTACCTGTCTGACTGTCTATTGAGACAGATTAAAGACATAAAGCAGATGCTGCTTCCTACTTCACTTATTTCAGGCTGAAATGACAGGAACATATTTGCTTTATCACTGAATCTTGGTGACAAACCCAAGAAACTCCCATCCCCTAGAGTTGTCTATCACTTTCTCTCACATAAAACACCTATGCTTTAAGACTATTGAGGTAAGTTTGTGGTATCATCTTATCTTTCCATCATCTGAAGGGACTCATGCTTCAGTTTTCCTTAGGTCAGGTAGATTTATTTCACAGCTGAACTGAAAATATCGACTTTTCAGGTTTAATATAAGTTCACAATCTTCAACCAGTCCCTTTCCTTGGGTTCGGCCCTTTCTGAGGGTCTGACAATCTTCTCTTTTCAAAGTCACAACAGCAACTTCTAACTGCTGGTCCCTTCAAAGAAAAAGGCACTCTCCATCTTCTCTCTTCTACAAGTTGCAACACTGTGAACTGAAACAGTGAAACTGCCTGAGGACCTCCATACAGTTTGGCTAAAGACACTCTTTCGTGACTGTTTACTGGATTTTGGTTTAGCATTTTGGTTGTTAATCCAAAAGAGTGGAAAATGTATTGTTTTAACATGAAATGATGCATCTCCTGACTTCCAATTACAAAGCAAGTAAAATGCCTGACTGCTACCTCCCACTGGTAGTGTCATCTACTACCCTGTCAGATACTTCCCATCACAAACATTGCCTTTTCAGAGCACCTTAGTTTGTTCTAAGCTTTGAGTTTTTTTTCAACCCTTCAGCTGATATATTTTTTAAAAAACCCAAGAGTTCATTTCCTAGCCCTTTCTACAAAAATCTCCCCCTTAAGCTACTGAAAACAACTGAGAGAGACTATTTTATATCCCTGCACATTTCCCAAAATGCATTTCTCCACTGCCTACATTTTCCAAGCATCCCTGAGAACTAAAAAACTGAAAGTACCTAGCTGTGGCTGCATCTACACATGCAATTAATGTGATGTGATAAACTACAGAGCTCTTTGAGCTGGAGTATGCTGCTCCCAGGGGCAGCATCTACATGTGTGCCTAGGACAGCAGCACTTTGAGCTGGGTGGAGCAGGCCTGGGCTGGCAGCAGGCTCAGGGGGTCAGCCCCACGCTCTGGGTGGTGGTGTGGGAGTTGGCTGGGGTACAAGAGAATGTGCCGAGCGTTGTGGCTAGGCAGCAGACAGGGGTCTGGCCCCTGCTGCCTGGGCTAACTGGGCACAATTTAAGCCTGCAGTCAGCATTTACACATGCATTTCAGTGTACTAAATGAGCCTGCTGTAAGATCGTACCATCTTCAACAGTACTATTTTATGGTGGACTTAATTAGCATATGGCACCCTAATATCAGCACATATGTAGACTGTGATGCTTTACTGCAGAGCTAATTAGTCAACTCTGCAGTAAACTGCATGTACAGATGCACCCTGTGCTGGCTAAGATCAATTGTAGCAGCTGTGGGAGCAGGATAGCATTGGATCCTAGGTTTGCCTTTAAGGAGCCTGAATAACCTCTTATGGCTCTAAACCAGTCTCTTAATTTTACTCTGTCCTACCTAGCTATGGTTAATCTACAGAAAAATGTAATCTTGGCAAAAGTATAATTTTAAGTCATTGGCAGACAAGGTTCCTTGGGTGAATCTGATATCTTTTATTAGACCAACCCAAATAGCTGAAGAATAGTTATTAAGCAAGCTTTCGGGTTCAAAAACCCTTCGTCAGGCTAAGGAAGTTTCAGCAGTTAGTGTGCGCTCATCGACATTTATTCAACATCTATTTTCTGCTAAACAATTTTGTATTGAAATGCATGAATCCAAGGACATAATCTAGATCTGGTTTTTGTTGCTCTCAATTTGCATTGATTACATATCTATAGAATATATGTGTATATACACACAAAAACAAATTTGGAAAAATATATTTTCATGTGCTTGAGTAACTGCTAAACATCTTTCACTGGAAAAATGTTTATATGTACTCATTTCTGGCTGCTTCTGTATTCGGAAACAGATTCAAACCGAATATGTAAAAGACAGACACCTTCCACATGAGATTCTATACTATTATTGGGCCTGGGCTAAGAACTTATATATTGCTGACATCAGTCAGACCAATTTAACTTTGGGGTGGCCTTGAATTTTTGTTTTGGCTGGTTGAAGCCATTTCTCTACTGGGGTCATTTTCCCATGTTTAATTCATATTATTTCTATATTTCATTTGCTTTGCTAATATTTTTAATAATAAGACCATGTGTACTCTACCCCAACCACCTCTAGTTAGTGCAGGAATCTACCTATAACACCACCCTTCCTGCATCTGTAATGCAGTATGACAGACCATGACTTATTTTTGAAGACCTAGCTACCAGGGGCATTTATACACATACCTTTTGTCTTGCAACATGCTGGAGATCTTCCGCATATGAGCTGAATGTGAAATGCACTGCACGGTGTGCAGTTGTATAAGTGATGAAAGCACGTCAGTGAGCGAAAAATGGTGGTGGTGAGCTTTTGAACTAAAATACCTTCTATGTGTTATACTACATGCGCAGCACTTACATATGTAAAAATGCACTAGAAGATCAACATATATGTATATGGTTGGGTATAAATATGTAGCATTCATTGAAAGAGCTAGATAGTTTGGGAGCACTGTAAACCAAAATACTTTAAGCATGATCACTAGGCAAATCTATGGGCACCCTCAGGTACTATGCATTCCTTTTAAGGTTGCTGTGGGGTGCTGCACAATGCTAACACTGGTAGTTATGCAAACACCTTCAACTTGATTCATAAAATAAACCCAGATAGTGCATCCCTATGAG